ATCACCTAAAGGAATGGAATAGTGCTGATGCCTCACCAAACTACAGATCCCATGATTCCACAGATTCTACAGTGTAGATGCATCCCAGGGCAGAAATTGAAGCATTTGGGTATGTCAAAGGAATGCTTCAATTCACAGAATTCCTCCTACTCTGCTGTCCCATTGGGTGATATGAGAACCTGTACTGGAACTAATATTTCCTTCCCAGTTTATCATGAAAATTAAGAAGATGCTTGAAAAGGTAAGGGAGAGAAAAAACAATTCTTTTATCTCTTTCCACTTTTCTTGGTTTATGTTCTGCAAGGTATTAGGGCAGAGGCCTTCAGATCTTCCTCCCACTCACCCAACAGTAAAATTGTTCTGCCCAGGAATCAAAATGCAGGCTATGAAGAATAAAAGAAAAGGGGCAAAATGAATCTTGGCACCTATTTATTTTAGCATGAAATTTTGGAGGTGAAAATCCATTTCCACTGAGGCATCAAGTGAAAACAAAGATATTAAGCTTAAAGGGACACATTACTCCTATCCCCCCATACTAAAAGAGATCAAAACAGCAAATAAATAAAAAAACTCATTTAACTAATAGGTTCAAAGTATGTCAAGCAAACCATTAATCCAGTTTGCATTTTTTTGAAATATCCTATATATCTTAATATAACAATTTAATATTTTTATACACTGCTAGCCATCTTTATATACTGCTGGCCAAATCACAGACACTGACAGAAAAAGAAGTGATTCTTTGAGATCACACTATATGAGAATATACAGATAATTGTACATAAATGCCATTAGCCTTTTCTGTCAGACGTAAGATGCTTGCGGTATGTTCAAATGTTGATTATTTGAGACTACATTAAGTTTGTGTCCCTCTTTTTAAGAATGCTACTTTTAAGAAAACCAATTTATATTAATGTACCAAATTATGTATTTTTTTAAAAAAAAATCTGTTTTAAGTGCTTTCCCATCACATACATTTCAAATGGGTATTTATTAAAGATTTTTGCAGGAAAAGCTTTTAAAAACACCTCTCTATAAGTTTAGAATATATAGTATTAAAGATGCTATTATGATATGAGATAAACATGTTCCTAAATAAAGGCACTTAGGCGATGCTGGACTGAAAACAAAGTAGAGAACTCTTGAATACGTTTTCTTCAAAAACAGAAGTCCCTTATAAAATAACTTATTCATGTATGTTTTATTTTAAAATTGTGTATAGTGATCTAATAGTGTCCAGGCCTATGAAAGGCAAATGTACAAATTATTGATATCACTTGCAGAAATATCCAGTTTTGCACAGCTTTGAAACTCCTAATCTCCCCCGCACTGTGCCAGTCACAACTTCATCACGACTTTTTCTTTGTTAATCCCAGTTATCAGAAAGGACACCTCTCTCACTATGCTGGTTCCACCTATTTTCAGGTGATCTTATTTATTTTCTTTTTTCTCTCTCTCACCCACCATTCTTCTCTAAGGCAATATGCAACCTTATAAACATTCAAAATATTAAATGCATGAACGAAAATATTTAAAACAGACTAAAACTCTTCTTTATAAAAAGCAGTCAGAGCATCCACTGTTAAGGATTGAACATCAACATAGTTTAAGACATTCAACAGAAACCCGGAAGGGACAGATCCAACCAGGCTCCTTGGAAGGGAATTCCATGGTATGCAGCTACAAACAAAACCCTATCACATCTACCCACCAACCTAGCCTTCCTAGGTTTAACAGGAGGGGAACAAAGGTTGTTCTGCTATGAGGTCTTGATGTCAATAAAAAATTCCAATTTATGCCCACTCAGGCTCCTGTGAGGGTAAAGTAGCAGCCCTTTGGAACTGACAAATGCTGCAGCCATGTTAAATGAAGCAATCTGAATGTTTAGGATGGTTGGGAGAATGGTCGCTGCCTGACCAGTAACCACACTAAGCAAAGCACCAAAATAGAGCAGTAAGCTAACTAGTCTATTGAAACCAGGCAACTGGCCCATAAAGCACCCTAACTGACTGGTTCACTACTCTGGCACAGGTGCCTGTGCAAACTCTTACCAGCTCCACCAGTTTGGCCTTCTGTGAGTGTTCTCTTTATGGTATCATGGTGGGTTTAGTATATATAGTTGCTTAAAGTTTGGTATTTAGAGGATAACAAATTTTCCATGTACCTGATTTGTTAATTGAACAGGTAAATAGCTGCTCTGTGAAGCAATCAAGTATATGTTCAAACCTTGACAGCTCTCTCCATTTTGTCCCAAGCATGAGTGCTACTGGCTACATATCCACAACATGTAATTTCATTTGAGTATATATATATATGTGTGTGTGTGAGAGAGAGAGAGAGGTTGGTGGTAGGGAGTATGTGTATCTATCTATCTATCTGGGTGGGAAGCCGAAAAGAAATCTCTGAATTTAGTTTGCTTACGTTTCCTACAAGATATGTTTGTTTCCTCAACATGCTTTCTTCTGATTCTGAATTTACTAAAGCTGAAGCAATCAGTATATCTGAGGTCTCAACTATATCTGACTACACCTTCTGCAGGGTGCCCAAGGCCCTTTGTTCAATGGGGGCAAAAAAATACAACATTGCTTGATTGAAATAATGTGGAGCACTGGGTGCATTTTACAGTCTTTTTTTTTTCCTGACTGAGATCAACCATCTGTTTTGTCCTGTAGATCCTGCTGTGCAAATTAAATAGAAGAACAAAGACTGGCACCTCTGTGTCCACTGTTGAGCGAGACAAAACAGAAAGCTGAGAAAAGGAATTGAAAGGTCACAGTTAGTGGATTGGTGGTATATAATGTGTCATAACTGGCAATCATTATCAAGCACCAACAGTGTACTAATACAGGCTTTTTGTGTATACGTAACAATACATTTATAGAAGCCAAAATTTAAAAAAAATGGTTGCTAAACATTTATTTCCCACAAAGCAATGAAGCACAATTCGGGAACTGTGGGACTGTTCCTACATGTGAATAATATAATACATCAAAATGCACTTGCTTGCAAAAAAAAAAAAAGGTTTAGAAACTAACCTTCATTTAAAACAGTATTGCACTGAAATAAGATACAGTTGGCAAGCAGTATTTTGTCCTTGTTTTTTCAAAATAAGTTATTAAGTCAAAATAGCAAAGGCACCAATCTACTAGTGCTCTCGGTCATTTTACTCTCTATCCTTTGTAACATCTAACATAAACATTGCATGATATGATGTCATCATGCCACTCATCACTAGTAGGGGAAGAGGTGCACAATGTAATATCTCATTGTGGGCTAGAAAGAACAAAGAGCAAAAAGAAGCAGACCAGAAGCAGCTTCTTGTCTTTTATAACATCCAGTTTGACCCTAGCAGCATTTTTAATTTTCTGGGCTTGTGCACACGTTTGCTAGGCAAGGAGCATAGAATTCTTCTGTATTACTTATTGCTCTGTTCCATAAACATTCTGTATTTCCCATAGATCTAGAAAACCAAACTTCCAACAAGGAATCATATACACTATCTGGTTAGTAAAGCCTCTTTAAATTCTCAAGCAGGAACTGTACATATAGAATTTGGCTAGCATATCACATGTGCTTTCTATTTTATATTTATTTCTAATATTTTGGATAACTAAAAATGTAAGCATATATAGCGAGAAAACATAACCAACATTTATATATCGAAGACTAAGATTACAGAATAAGCCAAATGTATATATCCAATTAATTAATGGAAGAAAGTAGCACATATATGAACCGCTTAAAACTAAAAGAAAGTGAATCATTTTGGCTGGACCATACCCTAAAAGTTCTTCCCTAAAACTTTGCTGTGGCACTTAAGCAAATCACCACTCAAAATTGTAACTAAAAGAAGACCTTAGGCTCTTTTTGTTTCTATCATTAATTGCCTTCATGGGGAGAAGTAGGATTTGCAGGTTCACTCTCAAGATATTGTTGGGAGGAAAACAAATAAGATATCCCAAAAAGGATGAAAGGGGTGGGGGGGACAGATTTAGCAAAGTACTGTATTAAAAAACAGTATATAATACTATAAAAACAAGAAACATAAGAAAATACAACATGACCACAACCTACAATGACAAGGACACAATACTAGAGCGATAAAAGCTACACAACAGGTCAAACTTCAGTTTCTAGTAATAATCCTTCATCCACACAGGAAATTTCATGATTGAGCTTAAAACCACACTAAACACAAATTCCATTCAAATCTATGTAAGGGCCAGATTACCAACAAAATTAAAATCTCCTTGTAAACTTTATCTTATGGAAAGATTGACTCAGGTGATTACTCCCGAGATTTCATATACAGCCTTATCACATGAGGCAAATTAAGCATTCTAGGATGCTTTTGGGATACTTCCACCTCACCAAACGGCATCACATGACATATGGCGACTTCCAGCAGGGTCCCATGGAGGAAGTGTCCCAAAAGCAGCACAGGAGGCTTCCTTCAGAACATGGGAGGCTTCCTATGTTCCATAGAAAACTATAGAGCCAAGCTATGGTAGTGATGCTTTCCCAGGTGCAGGCAAAACAGGATACTGGAACTGCCCCACTGCCCCATTGATTTGCCATGGGTGGTGGCGAATCGCCCCATGGGACCTCATCCACATGATAAGATCCATAATCCCCAAGGCCTGGGGTTGCTGTGTGAGCAGTGTATATGCGAGACTGCACATGTGGGGATCACATTTTACAACATAGTTTGTGGAATTTAAAAAACTTCCTTCACAAACCAGGTAATATTTCAATATTAAATGTGTTTTCTGCTTTCCCAAAAAAGAAAATAAGTAGTGTGGATAGAAATGCAGACTATTGTTCTTTTTACTTTTTTTATTTTTGGGAAGGGGTCCTTTCATGTGAACAGTTTTTTAAGTTTATAAATTCAATAACACTTTAGTATTAAATCAAAGTACACTAAAGAAACTGATCTCAAATGAAAGGAGCACAGGTTTTTAGGTAATCCTTTAAAAACAGAAACACATAAAACATCTTACCTCATAAAGTGAGTGCCATGATGAAATGGGTAAAACTGGTATGTAAGGAAGTAGGAGCAACAGTGGATAGAGAAAAATCACTGCATTCCCAAACCACAGACTAGATTCAATCCTTCTACTGTTCATGAACTATCTAAAAAAACAAAAGATATTTAAAACGTATTTCTTGGGAAATAAATTCATATTGGCAATGGAGTCTGGTGGCTTCTAGGTCAAGGAGGCAGGGAATTCACTTCACACTTGAAAGTCTTAGCTTTAAAGGAAGTATTCAAAGTAATAAGTATATTTGGGTGAGAAGATTCAGCACTTTGGGCAATGCCTTGAAAGTCTGGACTAAGATTTGGAGCAGAATCACCACCCAATGGCATGGAAGACAACACCAGGATGTGTATCAGTGCAGGATTTGGACAGAAGTTTGAAGTGATGGCCTTTAATTTTTTATCGTTTAACTCATATGAATCAGATGCAATTCCATCTCCTTTCAAAATCTTACTTACATTCTGTGCTTGTTACCTTAATCTACCCAGGCTATACCTGCCTAGTTGTTACACCTTCTCCATCCAATAGATTCATATAACTTTTGTTTGTTTTCCATCCTTTATTTACTGTTCAAAGTATTCATTACTTTTTCAAAGCACAAGGAATACTAAAGCAATGTGCAATAAAATATTGTTTTAAAACAAATTTAAAATGATTTTTAAACAAAGTTTTTAAAAACCAACAGATGTAAGGAGCAATATAATTTTGGCCACATATCAAAAGCTCTTGAGAATGGAACTAGCCTGACTTCCCTTCACAACTGAGGTGCTTCTAGAGAGAAGGCTTGGTCTTAGGTCTCAGCAATTTACTTTCCTTTGTGGTGCTGAGATACATAACCAGGCCTCTGCTAATGATCTCAAATCCTGGGCCATCTTAAACAGCATGCCTGGAATGAACTTGTGTCTACATATACAGAAACACATTCATTTGAATTCTTAAAAAAGTGAATTACAGGAGGTTCATGGAATAGATATTTCCTGTTCCCTCTTTGCTCCTTCAACTGCCTGCACCCTCTGAGAATTGGTTCTCCTAAATGACATAGGATAGGATTTGGAGGGTGCTGCTGGAGAAGGGGCAGAATAATCCAAAAACTGGATGCTAATTTGAGACAACTCTCTTATTCCTGCCAGGCCTATAAAACCCATACTACACTGTTCAGGAGAACACCTATAGCTCCTAAAAATGAGAAGTAGGGTGGAGAGATGAGGAGGAAAGCTGGTATAAGAGAACTGTGTTTCATCATAGGATTATGTTTCTACTTTCAGTATCCTATAAATACTTTTGTGTTTCTTCCCCCATTAGGAGGAGAGCATTAATTTATTAAAGACATTCAGGTCAGGTCCAGCTTCAGGTTTCTCTGGACTTTCAATGATATAAGGATACATAAAAACAATTTCACGTTGCAAGAAACAAAGACTTCATACTTAATATTATCACTCTTTTCAATATTGTACATAGTGGTCTAGCTAATCCAAAGTACAAGTGCTCATGATGCTCTTACAACTATGCTCTCTCTACTTCTACAAATAATTACTCATGAGGAGGTATATCTAATGCCAAACACATGTCCTGCTCTCAGATAATTGTTTGGAGAAAGAAATGATGCCTAACAATACAGAAATTGGTCGTCCTTGACAAACAGTGCATCAAAGTTTAATGGCCAACCATACAAAGTGGTAGCATATTTTTCTACCACGTGATAATTATATATAAAAAATAAATAACCAAAAGAATCTTCCACAGGTGTTTTGTTTTAGCCAGTCATATCAAATATGCAGTTTTCTTCTCTCCTTTTCTGCATGAAACATTATCACAACATTCCTAAAATGCCAAGGAAGCACAAGAAGACAACACAGCATAATAATCAAACCCAAAAGATCCAAGATATAAAAGGTCAATATCAGTTCCTTCAACTGTCCCCAGCTACTATAAAAACCAAATGAGATGTTAATGTCATGTTACTAGTTTCACAAACCTATAGTTGCAAACCTACTAAACTACAATACTTCTTAACTCCAGCTAAGCCATTCATATTTATAAGCAAAACAAATCTTTTTAATATAATTATTCTGTATTTCAAAGAATTAATTCACAACCATAGGTACTATAACTTCTGCAATCACTCAGATATATTTCTTGATGTATAAAACCCAACTTCTGTGATTTATTTTATTTTATTGGTAATGTGATTATGAACAGAAACCTATCACACCAATCTCTCTTATAGAAATAGGTCAAAACTGCTGTAATTACTAAAAGTCAACAGATTTCCGAAAAACAAGTCATGCCAGACTAGTCATTTCGGAACCACTGACAATCAGCTTTGAGAGTTCTTGGAGAACAGGCCAAGTCCCAACAGACTGGAGAAGGGCAAATGTGGTTCCTATCTTCAAGAAGGGGGAAAAAAAGATGACCCACACAATTACCATACGGTCAGCCTCACATCGATACTAGGCAAGAAACTGGATGGCCATCTGTCAGGGGTACTTTGTGCTTTTCCTGCATGGCGGGGGGTTGGACTAGATGGCCCATGTGGCCTCTTCCAACACTATGATTCTATGATTCGGCTCATAGAACAGATAATTATTGCAAAATAATTATCTGTTAAATGTTATTGTAAAGTTTTCGTCTACCCAATTTTTTTAAATCACTATTACAATACAGACTCTCTACAACCCCCTACATGACACAATTTGAATAACACAATTTTGAAAATGTGAGTATTTTTCCAATCTTTGACCACAATTTCAGCTTCTTGGTTTTGGTTGTTGGATAAGGTTTTGAGAGACAAGAAAGAAAAGCACAGCCAGCAGAGAAAGGCAATGGTTTGGAGTGTGAAGGGTGATGTGGATCGCTACAGATATAAACAGTATATGAGAGGAAGAACCAAAACAAAATACAGTGATACCTTGGCATAAAAGTTTCATTTTGTGACCAAATTTGTAACTCAATTTGCTCATATGTCAAAGCAAATTTCCCCATTGAAATGCAATGAAGTGCTATTAATCCATTCCTGAGCTCAGTCTCAGAACAAATTCAACCTATTTGCCAAGGCCCTGCAGAGTTCATGGGCTTCAGCCAGCCCTTCTATCCTCCCATACTCCTAATGGCATCTTGAAGCAATTCCATTGTATGTTTTTGACTGAATTGTTATTCTATCGTGTTGCCACTTTGAGTCCCTATTTTGGGGAAAGCAAGATACAAATAACAAAAATAGAAGTAACAATATGCTGGAAAAGAAAAATGCCCCTGCATCATAGCAGTAAGTTCACGCTGCAGTGTTGAGGAAATGGAAAACAAGGCAGACAAAAAGTGAAAAAGCAGTAAGTAAAACATTACATTCATTTAAGCATTGCAATGATCATGAATACTCAATACAATAATTGAGGCAAAAATCTGACAATTTTAGCAACTCATCTGCTATCTGAATAAATAGGTTTTACAAAAAGATTTTTTGTCTAGTTTTCCAAAACCTTACAAAGAGATGTTATTTTCCTTAAGTGAACATAATGTTGTTCTTATATGATATCAATTCTAGAATAATTCCACTGAAACCAATACTGTACTGTTACTATAATTTTAAAGAATTTGGTTTGGTGTGATTAAAATCAACAGAGTGCACCATTTGAGGGTACCACTTCTCAAGAAAAGGCAATAAGCCCCAGGCATGCTATCATTTGATTACACAATTTCATTGACAGGTTGAAAGGCTTAAAAGGCAACTGAGAAATGTGGCAGATTTCATTTTCACTGGAAAAGGATTCATTTCCTCATTTGAAAGGACATCACCATGTCATTTCCTGAAAGCTAAAAAAAAACACTGTCCTTTGTTATAAGATACTTGACAAGAAAAAAAACTACTCTATATCTTCTAATCTGAAAGAAACAGATCTCTTGCCAGTTATAGTAGGGTCCTTTTTCCAACACTATGCAGCGTAATTTGAAAATATTAACAGTTTGCTGTAACTTTGCTTTGTATTTGCTTTTTAAAAATTATAGTTAATATTTTTGAAATCTGTCTTTTTAATGTCCATTTAGTTATTATAGACAGGATCCAGCTGTACCTTCTACATAAATAAGGGCTCTTTCCTACCACAGAAAAAATGAGGTGCAGCAAAGGAATTCTACTGGCAGAATGCCAGTTTTTCCTGCAACCATTTGCACCCTCTGAAAATCTCATTCAGCAAATTTCTGGAGAAACAAGGGAAACAAGGGAAATTAGACTCTCTGCGACCCTTAGCCTTTGCAGGGGTGGAGGACAGATTAAGATGGTCCGCCCCAGGAGACTGATTGATCCGGACAGATTCCTGAGGAATCTTGGGGTTCTTCCTGCCATGGAGCCTGGCGATCCTGTCGACGCCTTGGTTGATCTCTACAATAGGGAGATGACCAGGGCGATAGATACGATCGCTCCCGAATGCCCCATCACGTTGCGCCGTGACAGGTTCACTAGGGAGCTGGCTGTGATGAAGCACACCAGAAGGGGGCTAAAGAGCATTTGGAGGAGTTCTCAGGACGTGTCTGACCAAGCACGGGCTAAAGCCTCACTTAAGGCATATTCTGTGGCTATACGGGTGGCCATGGAATCTTTCACGACCACCCGTATAGCGTCTGCAGCAAATAGATCATAAGAGCTGTTCCGGGTTGTCGGGGAACTCCTTCACCCACCTGTGGTGGAGGAGACCTTCAATGACCTGGCAACTCGGTGTTGCGAGCTCGCGCACCATTTTGCAGGCAAAGTTGCTCAGATATGTCTTGAGCTCGACTCCAATTTCATCACAGTGCCAGATGAGGTGATTGAGGCATCTGCTTGTCCAATTTTATGGGATTCTTTTAGGCTTGTTCTTCCTGAGACCGTGGAAGAGGTCCTTGGGGCTGTGAGGGTGACCACGTCGGCTCTAGACCCTTGCCATCTTGGCTAATTAAATCGGCCAGGGAGGGGTTGGTTGATTGGTTTGTGTTGATCATTAATGCATCGTTGGAGCAAGGGATTTTTCCATCTAATTTGAAACAAGCTGTGGTTCGTCCACTCCTTAAAAAGGCTTCCCTTGACTCCACGGTGCTGAACAATTACAGACCGATCTCCAACCTCCC